TTTTAAAACAAAGCAGGATCATATGAATGAAGAAATTATTTTCAAGGGTTTGACAAAACTAAGGAAATCCTACTTGTGGTGACAACACTGTTATGAACTTCATGTAATAGAAAAGATAATATTGTAGGACCAGAGACAACGGGCATTAACTGAAACACAGGTGCAGAACAGGATGAAATTCTTCCCTGTGAGGTGCTGAGGCACTGGCACAGGTTGCCCAGAGAAGTTGAGGAGTTCTCCACTCTTGGAGACATTCAGAAAACTATCTGGATGTGGTCCCAGACAACTGCCTTACTTATGCAGGGGGGTGGACCAGATAACCTCCAGAGGTCCCTGCCGACTTCAGCTTTTTTGTGATTCTATGAGTTCACAGCAACAGGTATTGCAGTGTTGTGGAAATGTCTCTGGCAGATAAACTGACATCAGCCTAAATCCAGCTGCCAGATAGACATAGTAATAAACAGATCTGCCAATATTTCCTTTCTGACTGAGAGGGTAATTTTGTTCAGAAGGGACATAACCTTGGATTCCTGACATTGCTAACTTTAGGACATTTTGCATATAACTTTTTATGCGCTCAGGAGATTTAATGCATTAATAGCCTATTGGCTATGGTGAAAACTAAAATGAACACGCTGCTTTTATTCCCACCACCTGAGGAAAAATATGGATGCCAGACTACATATAAAAAGATCATCTTTTACAGGATGAGTCTCGCAATTTTAAACAATGTAATTTTTTTCAAACCAAGGTGTTAAAATAAATAATGATATAAGGTTGCAGAAAGAACTTGTGGTTTGAAGAGTTTTAGTGGGAAAAATTTCTTAATAAGCAGGCAATTGTCTTCAGAATATAGCTGAGTGAGTCAGGCTAGTTCTGTTTTTTTTATTTGTGCACTTTTACACAAATTTGGTTAAACCCAAATTAAGTGGCAAAGAAATCTAACAGAGCTCCCAATGAAAGTCAATACCTAATGGGAAATAAAGAGTTTCCAATGAATCCAAAGGCATGTCACAAGCCTTCTTTGTTCAGGGAAAACTCCAGC